TTTGAAGTTTGGAATTTGTGCAATATGGGTTTCTAAAGAGGGTGTTGGGCAATTCCCATTGTGGCTGATGGTTTATGTCCTGTGTTGGATTTTGGGTGAGGGGCTCTTGTTATAATCCTATTACTCAGCTTTTGTTAGCTGTCAAACTTTGCTGTAAGGCATTTTGAAATATCCTGTCTTGAATGGACTTCTGCCGGCAGTATTTGCTTTGCGTATGAATGAAGCCATCTAGATAGTTGGCTTCCTCTTTCAATAAGCTCTTTACCTTCTTAAGTGCTGGCATCTGCTGTGGGCTATTAAGTAAGGCTGTGGGCTGCTTTCTGCCTCTAAGAACATGTTTCTCCATTTCTCCTCTGGGGAAATATAATATTCTGTCTTTTTTAATATTTCCCAAAATATTTCATTCTTCTAGGAGGTGGGCTTCCCACAGTTCTCCCCTTTTTGCCATAATAAGTGTGGGTGATACACACACTTTTACTGGTAAAAGATTAAGAATTGATCAAACTGTTAATGCCAAGGGGAAGGCATTGATAGAGGCAGCAGAAAAGGATCCATGTAGTGGCTCCCAAAAGGACAGCTTTCAACCCATGAAGGTCTAGAAGTTAGGGCAAAAGTTTTGTTAAGTGAAAAAGCAATTTATAATATCCAATATTCCATGCCAATTATTTTCAGATGTTTGATGTCACTTTCTGTGAGCTTCCAGTCAGGTTTGAAGCAAGTACATGCCCCAAAATTCTTCACAGCCACGGTTTTGCTTTAGTAAATAACTACTGGCTGCCCATTTTCAAGGGTAGCTTCCTGAATCTGCCTTAACTCTTAGTTTAGTGCATCCAAGGTTTGTGAGGCCAAATTGGAGTTAGCCAGTGTGCAATCCAGGCTATTAACATTTTTGAAATTGCGCACAATGAATCCTGGGACTCCTACTAATGAGATCACCAGTGCAACATATTCTGCCTTAGTGGACAACTGGGCAGAATCATTTGTGAGTCACAATCAGGGCTTAGGGTTTGGAAATCTTTTTTCTGCCACCTCTTCGCTGAGGGAATTGCCTGAGAGGGCATGCCCCCTCCCCCATGGAATTGGCAGGGAGATATGACTGCAGGGAGCTTATTGCCACAGAGCAAGAACCAGCCTAGGGGAAGCATTATCTGGAGGTCAGCGAAGGGGATAGCCTCAGTCTGATTCTGAATGGGGTGTGTGTGTGTGTGTGTGCACGCACACACACACACACAATTACTTCTACAAGACAATACAAACATCCTAGACAAATTTCCCTCCCACCAGACAGAAATCTGAACACCTGCTGTACCAACTACTCCTAAATGCCATCCCTCCAGTCTTTACAGCTGTCTTCTGGGGATTGAAGAGAGTATTTTGTCTTCAGTGGTCCCTCTCAGGGTCCTCTCTTTCACGTCTGCTTGGTGGCATTAGGCTTGGCTTGGTGGTAAGGCTGGTCAGTCAGGCTTTGGAAGGTCTGCTCTATTCTGGTTGCTGTGATGTCTTTCTACCAACTCCCTGGATCGAATGGATGGAGGGTCTCCTCTGGTGGCAGCATCTGGGGCAGTGTTCTCTGTTTCCAAAGGTTGCAGAGTTCTCTGTGCAGGGCTGAAAGATATAAGACCAAGACCACCTCCCCGCTTTATGGGTAACCCTCCCAGGAAAGGCACTGTTGGTCTGATGTGAGGAATCTAGAACAGGGGATAAGAGATGGAGAGGTAGAGTGGGAGTGGATAAATAGCTTGCAGCCAGAGTTTTACAAGACATACAGTAAATGAAAACAAACAAAACTTTTCTTCTGAATGAGCTTCAACATTCTCTCCTGACAAACATGGGCTGTTTTAACATTACAGGGAGGAAAGAAAGAAGAAAAAGGGAACACAATTCTCTTCACCCTGTTTTGCTGGCCAGGCAAACTAGGGTAAAGGTACTTTTCTTTTCATTGCTTTAAAATTATTATTTTTTTCTTTAACAATTTAAAATTCTTGTCTCTAGGGATCAGAGACATTTAACAGTTACAATTATCTAACACACAAAGACTTTACACACATATCCACACAAAAAGACAAGGAAAAGAGGGAAAAAAGGGACAGCAGAAATTTACACCCGGGTCATTCCCACCATAAATCTGTTAACTCAAATTAGGGAAAGTACAAATCTTAACAAACATATTACATGGCTGCATAGAAGACAGAGAGGAAGGGGAAAAATCAATGTTCCTATTTATATTTCCCTTTTCTTTTTAAAATACCTTTATTTAGCCAAATTGGTTTTCCTGCTTCGTCCCTGAGCAAAGCCCACTCTTTACACAATTTCCTTGCTCACATCTTCTTCATACCAGCCAGGACAGGCACTCACCTCTCATCCCAGGCCACAAGCAAATCTCCTGGGGTGGGGGTGGGGGAATCCTGTCATGACCTCAAGCTACAGCTTCCCATGTTCCCTTTACAATGTGGGGCTCATTTGGCTTAGCCTGGTCTTACTCTGCAGCAAAATCTTGCCACCATCAGTTTTCGAACAAAAAAAAAGTAGTCTGGGAGGACTCTGGTTCCCTCACAGAGTACAGACACCTCCTCCTTTCCAGGGAACACCACCATAGGTTTTCAGACCAAAAAGGGGTCCAGGAGGACCTGCCACCCCTACACAGCGAGTATGAGCACTTCCTAACACCACAATCAGTTTTCAGACCCATGAGAGTCCTGGAGGACCTGCTGCTGCTTCTAAGCAGTGAGTACAGACACCTCCTTGGACAGGGCTTTGCTCAATGACTTCCTAGCTGGTTGCCCAAGTTCAACTCTCTCATTCACTTTTGTTCCATTTTCACACAGCCTCTCCCTTTTCCCTAACAGAAGGTCCTGCGCTCTGACCAACCCTCCATACTTTCCAAGATCTGTTGGTAAAACAAGATCTTTCTGTGGCTAGAAAAGGCACAGAGGGAGCAGGATCCAGCTGTGATTGGGAGAAGGGTCATCTCACTCTCATACACTAGCATACACACATTTCCCTCACTTTCCTGGGCTTTAAAAGTTAAAATTTAGAGGTACTCACCTTTCCAAGCAGCCATTGAGCTCAAAACGCAAAACTCCCTTTACTACCCTTGCTTGCTCCAAATCGCCAAGGTCCAGAGGAACCCACCCACAGACACAATGGGTCTGCTGCCAGCAAGGTGGAGTCTTAGCCAGGCCAGCTCCATTGATCAGGTTAGCTTGGAGTCCCATCTTGGGGTGCCAAATTGTTGAAAGAAGTAACCATCTGGTTCAGTTCCAAGCCAGGAGAAAGGCCCTGGAATAAAATGGAGGCTGGAGGCCAATTGGAAAAAAGGTTCCATTTATTAATGAATAGAACCACCAGGGTTTGTGGTTCTGGGGCAACTGATCAAATGATTTAGTGAGAGGAAATATGGTTCTGTGTTTTTGAAGTCTGGTATTTGTGCCACTCCACACAAGTCAGTTAATTCATTTTTTTCCAGCACTTGGTACCTTGTAATATTCTCAAGGATTAATTAATGTGGTGGGAAACTCATTAATATCAATATTTACTTTTTTGATACATCTGCATTTACTTCTCAGATATGCCTACAATAAAAGATGTATCAAATTAGTTTTCCCTTAATACATGGGTATATTTATTGCCAACCATATCTTCAGATATATCTGCAACGAAGAGTCCAGCTCCACTCATTGGCACACTGGGGGCTGTTTGTAGCAAACTTCACATGGTTGACTCATGTTCAGTTTAAAACAAGCAATCCAGAAATTTTTTTACATTCAAAAGTAAAATGTAAAAAGATGGTCATTTAAAGAGACCACCTTCTGCCTCCGATAACCTCCCACCGGCCAACACACTCCCACAGAGAGGGCCTCCTCAGGGTGCCGTCTGTCAGGCAATGTCGGCTGGCGACCCCCCAGGGAAGAGCCTTCTCTGTGGGGGCACCAGCCTTCTGGAATGAGTCGTATCCCCCCCAGGGATACGACTAATCCCGGACCTCCGGACCTTCCCTGAAGACTTTTTTATTTCAGCAAGCCGGGCTGGGTTAAAAATCTTTTAATTGGGGAATTTTATGGGCAAGGGGTTTCAAATTGGAGAAGCCAAAGATAATTTAATTTTGTTTTAATGTATTTTAATATTTGTATTGTGTGTTTTTAAATTTGGCTGTTCACCGCCCCGAGTCCTTCGGGAGAGGGGGCGGTATAAAAATTTAATAAATAAATAAATAAAATAAAAGATGAGGTACATTGATAGAGTACTTTTTATGTCCCATGGTAAAATATTGTAGGACTTTAAGACCTTTCACTAAAGCAAGAAAAAATAAGAATCTGGTCTGTTTACCCTTGGTTATGTTCCTTCAACAAGAATAAACTGAATTTACAATTGTCCCTGAAAGCGGCATCTGGTGAAGAGCAATTTTCACTACCTGTCCCTAATCCGATAAAATAATATTCCCTGAAGTACTAAGCAGGCACAACATTCATTGAGGGGTCCTTGATGGTATCAGAGCTTGATTTTCTTGAAAACGTTTCAGTACCCAAACTAGGAAACATCACTAGCAAGAAGTGAGGTTTGTTGCCAGTTTAATTCAACCCTGAGCTACAAATATTCTCCTTTAGGTACATTCTTTATTTTGCTGCTTCGAGGGAGCGTCCGCTTTAGATTCTTCCCCAAAGTTTTCACAGCCTTTGCACCTGCCTTTATTCAGTGTAAATGTTGTTAGGTTAGAGCTATCTCGGGATTCCGTTCCGGAGAATGAATTCCCTATAAGAAAGTACACACAATACTTATGAAAAATTTTGATGGCGTTTATCACCTAGAACCAAGAGATGGCGCCACTGCCCCATATATTTACGCACCGTAACTGTGTTTACTTCCTAATGGCAGTAGGATCCTCCTCTTCCTCTTCCGAGCCTACAGTAGGAAGAAGAGAGGCTGCGTGGTTCTAATCGGGCGTCGCGTAGACCAAGTATGTGCGCTTGTTGTTTCTGCCCTGTTTTTCTTTTCTAATGGCGAAAAGAGAGGCAAAGGAAAGGGAGCAACCTTCCGTTGCAGGAATGTTCAGCGTAGCTTCTCTCAATTCAGTGTCCCCCAGTTGTTTTGTAACGCAATTCCCATCATGTGCGGCCACCCTGGCACGTGGTACCCAGTGCATCTGAAAGGCACCAGATTAAGGGCGGGATGGCCGTAGCGGTTCTTGGGAGGAAACAAAGGATTCAAGAGGGAAACAAACAAAGGGAAAATGTTTTCCATTCTGGACCCCCTCCGAATCGTTTTCGCCTGAAAAGTTTAAGAAGGTTGCATCAGAAAAGCTGCGACTCTTTCTAAGAGAAAAATCGAGTTTACTCTCATTGTGAATCCTGTAGCTTGGAGTTTTTAGTTCTCTCGCTTTAAAAAAAACAACACCTTGACCCAGACTAATTTGTTGACCACCGGCATTTGGAGATACGCGAAGCCACTCGCAGGTTAAACCCACTAAATGGACTTTTACAAAAAATTGTAAGAAGCATTACGTTTTTTTTAAAAAAAAAAACTAATTTGGCACTCCGAATTCTTTGAGAGCTGCAATCCATATGCATCTGACAGAGGAAGACCTTTAAATTGCCTAAATTATAACTCTGTTTGCTTCTACTAATAGAAGGGTATCCAGTTATATGTTATGAAGCATCCATGTATAAATTCATGGAATATGTTGCATGGTTCCAAATTTAAAATTGCTGTATTTGGAATGGTGGCTATCTTCCTTCAGCTTGCTTTTAGGCACATATTCTGCACAAAAATGTACAATATGCAGTATTATTGACACCAAGTTCGTTTAACACAAACTAATTTGAACAACAATTTGCTGCATTTAATTTCTGCCACAGCAGTTTTGAGGTCATTTATTCATATAAAGTGGTAGGATTTTGCATGATTATATTGATCATTAGAATTAATGGTGATGACCTATAAAGCCCTACATGGCTTAGGCCCAGGATATCTGTCGGACCATCTGCAACCAGCAACAGCTCCCCATCGTCTGGTGCGTTCTAACAGGGAGGGCTTACTCAGGGTGCCGTCAGCTAGACAATGTCGGCTGGCGATCCCCAGAGCTAGAGCTTTCTCTGTGGGCGCACCCACCCTTTGGAATCAACTCCCCCGGGGGCTCCGATTGGCCCCTGACCTTCGCACTTTCCGCCGCGAACTAAATACATGGCTGTTTAAATTGCCCAGCCTGGACTGATGGGGTTTTGATTTTTAATGTATTTTAATATGCGTTTAATATGTATTTTAACATGTTTCTTACTTGGATTGAGATTGTATATTTTAATTGTTGTGAGCCGCCCTGAGTCCTATGGAGATACGGCGGCATATAAATCTAATTAAAATAAATAAATAAATAAATAATACAGGCAGAAATGCAGAATATGAGGGTAGGTCTTGAGATTTTCTTCCTTCCAAGTTTAACTCAGGTAGAAATCAAGCAGCAGCAAGTACTACTACAGTACAATCATTCTAGTAACTGTTCTGGTCTGATATGATATTAGAATAAGGGATTGACCCTCTTAATTGTGTGCTCTTTGGTTTGATCAGAACAAAAAAATGACCTTTGGGTTGTGTTCCATAGCTGGGATGTGGGAAAGACAAAGATCAGTGTCTGCAAGTTGCCTTCTTTAACTTGGTTCCTTCGAGATAAATTCGGCCACAAAGACTGCCACTAAATCCAGCTTATTTGGATGTACTGTGTACAAGTACTGTGTGTATTATTTTTCTCTTTGTATTATTGCTTAATCACATAATACCTTTTCATGCAAGAGTGTCATGAGAAATTCAGTTTTGATGTACATGGTTTTTCATTGTGACATTGTGCAATAATGGGAAACATCTTGGCATGAGGAGTTATTTAGTCCAAGTCTGCGCCACTGTAGCTCTACAGCTGTAATTTCCTGTATAGTGATTTTTATGTATCTCTTTGAGACAAAGGTGTAATCATTCAGTAGCATGATTTCATAATTTTTGAGGCATATTAAACCATAGTTTACAAAACTATCTAGAAGGAATAAACAATACAGATAGTCTTGTTTATTCAACTTAACAAACATTTAGTGACTATTTACGGTTACAACGGCAGTGAAAAAAGTAACTTATGACCATTTTTCACACAACCATTGGAGCATCCCCATGGTTACGTGATCAAAATTTGGATGCTTGGCAACTGACTCATATTTATGATGGTTGCAGTGTCCCGGGGTCATGTGATCACCTTTTGTAACCTTCTGACAAGCCAAATTCACTTAACAACCTTGTTACTAATTTAACAACTGCAGTGATTCACTTAACTGGGGCAAGAAAGATTGCAAAATAGGGCAAAACTCATTTAACACTGTTTTGCTTAGCATCAGAAATTGTAGGCTCAGTTGTCATAAGACGAGGACTACCTATAAATGCAGCCCCACCCATATATATATGGCCAATTCCATTTTGTATCATTGTTTTCCTCTTATAGAATAGTATTAGTTTGACTCCTAGAAACCAAACTGTAATCCATTTCTGATCTAACAACAAAGTGAGTTGTTTTCTTATAGTAAGTTTTATTAACACATTTTTCATCCCATGTCCACATTAACCCTTAAAACTCTTAGAGGCCTCCAAATGTTTTTCTAGAAAATATAGGATTGTAGTTTTTAATGTGAATTAATTATTAACTGTAAACAAGAAAATATCATTACTCCAGAGAGACTTTTTATTTGCTTCATTATTACCCCAAACTGGAAATTGAAAGTTTCCTATATTATTAAAAATATTCATGCATCACCACAATAAGGACATTGCTGATTAAAATTAAAGTAAAAGCTTTCCTGCTTTGCGATAATAATAGTTGGATAACATGTAATCAAGTAAATTAAAATCCTACTTTACAGAGCAGGCATATATTACGTATCCATCACTGTAAGCTCATTCGTATCCTTGCTACCCATCCCTCTCTCTGGCAATTAAAAATCAGGAGAGAGCAGAGCAGATGCATCTTTCTCAACAGCTACAGAATGGATGAATTTCCTGCTTGCTGCAAACTCCTACGACATTTTAAAAATGTGGGGACCATATGGAGGATGGAGGAAAAGATTTCACGGATGCCCCATCTATCTTATGTAAGCCCTCCTCTTTTCAAACAAGTGCATGAGCAGAGTTTGCATGTTTCCCAAGTTCTTTGAAAATTTCTATTTCTCTTCTCAGATAGATCAAATTTTCTCTGCACTACTAGCTAAGAAACACTAGTATGGAAAGTTTATAGGGAAGGAATTCAAAGTACAGTAATCGTTAACAAGGCTAATGTTTTAGTCCTCTGCAAATTGGCCATTCTTTTTGGTGATTTATATAAAATATTACCTGCTGACATCACTACAGAAAAAAAAAGTCTTGTATCTGTTTTGGATAATGGAACTGGTACTGTTGAACTACAACTACTGTCAACAGTTCGACTATTAAACCCAAGAAAAGTAGGCGCTCTCAGGAACTTTGCAATTGCAAAGGCACAACTTTATTGGATACACAATTTCGGAACTGAGGAATCAAAACCAACTCTGGTTTTTCCCGCGCAATGCTTGTATAGTTAAACAATAACTTCTCCTTCTCCCCACCCCACATTGGTCACATTGTCATTATGAATCATCCTTTTGTTTTAAGAACAGTTCATTTCTTTGTTCATTTCATCTATGACCTTGGTGGGTCTTGGCTCTCACAGTCTGTTTCTGGAGCATCTGCATTCTTTCTCACCCTTCCCTCCCCCCAGTTCTGTGGCAAATTGAATAGCGATAAGACCCAAAAGTGGTTCAACCTTGACATATACTGGAATCTTCATGGACATATTATTATGTCAGGCTTTATTTTTCTTCTTGCTCTCCAAAATAGTAGGAGAAGCAGTACATTATAGGGGTTTTTTTTTTCTGTGTAGTAAAATTTCAGATCTTTCCCCATACAAGTTGTATATAAGTAGCATGCAAATAACAAGCAATTGCTCTCAGATGTCATATTAGCTGCCTTTCTGTGCTGCCTTGTGGTCACTTGTTCATTTGGAAATCACTTGAAGTGGAGATCATCCTGACAGCAGATCTATGACAACTCGCCGCAGCCAACTTGTTGCGGCCATCTTACCACAGCCACCTCACCACTGAACAACTGGCCCTGGGACAAGAATTACACTAACATTGAAGAAATAGTGAAATAGAATAATGAAAGAAAGGATGCCAAAGGAGGGACAAAACAAAATGTAAATCCAAAAATTAACATATTTTTAAATTATCTTAAATAATTAAATTGAATTGTCCCACAGCAAGTTGGCCATGGCCAGTTGTCCCAATTAATGAAAAGAGAGGGGTGGCTGATAGCAAATCTTATTCAGAGATTTGGAGTTCCTGGTTTTACCCAGAACAGTCTTAATTGTTTGCTGTTTCATTATTTGTTTATTTTTACAATGCAAGTGAAGTGCAATATTGATGGAACTGAATACTCACTTCTTACTGACATCTTTCAGTAGAAAACCTATCTGTTCTTAAGATCTGTCTTTGGCTTCTATTGTGTGTAGGGTTTTTTGCATCTGCTCAGTAGTGGCAATGTTCAAAGTTGCTTATGACGTAAGGATATTTTCAACTTTGAAATGTTCAAAATGACTGCCACCATAAAATGAGTGCTGTGTTAGCTGTTTATGGGACAGATTAATTTTACAGAATGGGTGGATTGTTCTTTTAGCTGCACCATTTACTTGAGAGGGAAAGGGTCACAGTATTCTAAAGGGCAACAATTGAAGTCATAAAAAGCAGTCCTGTTTTTAAAATGTACTGTGAGGAAAAGCATGTTTACATCATATTTTACAAACTCCCAGATAAGCTTTTTGGGCAGTAAACATCCAAAGTTTAAACTATTTTTTCCTGGAGAACATGGGAAATTGAATATCAACATTGCAATTCTATGCTTGTCTCATCAGAAGTACAGTTTGCTAAATTGGGTTGGATTTATCTTGAAGTAAATGTGTTGAACAATTAACAATAAGACTGAAAAGAATAACATGGAAAGTGAGAATTTTGCCAAACATTATTTTGCCCCAGCACTGCAAAACATCTGAAAAGTATTTTGGTATTTTGGAAGGTTTTGTCTTAAGAATTTTATGTTACTCGTAAAAATCTTTGCCTCCTGAAAATTAACATATTGCTTCACATGATGAAATTAGAAGGAACTATATTCTCATTTAAAGAACAGAGATAAAAAATAATTGATACTTTAACCCTAAATTAACTAGGGCTTTAAAAAATAAAATGCAACCATAAATTAAATCTGTGGGAATTTAAATGGCTGCTCTTTAATCTTAACCACTCTGTGCTAAATTTTGATTTTAATTTTCTTTTGTCTTTTAGTTTGCAGTTACCACTGACACGTGTACCAATAGACAATGGTAAGATTTGTTTCCTTATAATTGCTAATGTATTTGATTTGTTTCATGTTAGTAGATACATATATTTATTCCAGTTGAATTGCTTTTGAAACCACTTAGCATCCATTTGGATGTATGGGTGTTATCATATATGGGCAAAATTGTCAATGACTTTCATACAGTAATAAAGAGGAAAGAATGCAGATTAGTTTAGTAAAAGTTGCTCCATTATTCAACACTTGCACTTGGTATCACAACAAATCATTTTGCCTTTCAGTGTAAGTACTGAAATTAGTAGACAATGTGATGGCCACTTCAATCAGCAGATTTTGGAAAGTCAATGCAGAATCAGAGGTTTGGAAAACAGACTAGTGCATCCTGTAATGTCTTTTCTATACCTTTGTACTGAAGTATGGTTTATCTTCCAGTCAGATTTTGAATATAGAAATTGTGAGTATTTTATTTTTTCCTGGAAAGTTGATAAAAGTAATAACCTATTAGATAAGCAGTTTTAAGAGGGTAAAAGAATTTGGCAAGAACAATTTGGCAAGAAGTGATGCTGGTAATCATCATGGAAGGCAATTATAATAAAAAAAGGCTTGTATTTTAGCTCTTGAGAGGTAGGGGTATGTGTGCATATGTTTGTATGTGTGTATATAATCCATGCACTCTTCACTTAAAATTATGGGCCAATATTTCCCCCCATGCTCCAGTTTTGTGGATAGATATATGTTTTCCCAGTTTAGTCTTATAGCCAGATTCTGTACCTAAGAGAGATAAGAACCTAGACTTTCACACTCCTGTTCATCACTTTAATCTAATTTAATACAATATATCTGCTTTTCATTGTTCCAATAGCACCATACCTAACAACTAGGCTTTTGCTCTTCATATTTAATTGTATGGTGCTATGAATGTCCACACAGAATGTGTGATTGGGAAAATTCATGTCCATTCCATAACCACATCACTGGAACAGAAGTTAAACAAATGGTAGTTTGATTGTTATAAATAAGTGGCATTATTTTTGCATCCACATGCACAAAAACATTGTAGGCTTATATGCTCACCTCTTTCCAACTTGGTACTTTCAATATTTCCTAACCTGAAGCTGTCCATTTGTTCCCCTTATAGTAATAAAATTTGTAGTCTGACATCTCTTAGACTCAAGAAGTCGTTCTCAGCAGAATCTTACAAGTAACGAACAGCATTATAATTGTCTTTCATGATTCTGGTTGTTTTTATTCCTTGTAGCTTCTGTAGAAATACATAGTACAATTTCTTTAAGGTTTAGAAAGGCCAGTATGTTCCTCATAATCATCCTCTCAATGTGTTTGTCTTCAAATCAGTTCTGGACTCCTGGCAGTGCTTTGACTTGTCCCTGCGGTTTTCTTGGCAAGTTGTTTTTGTGATTTGCCATTGTCTTCTTTCTAAGACTGAGAGAGAATGACTGGTTCAGGGTTACCCATCTGGCTTTGTGCCTAATGTGGAACTAGAACTCAGTAGTTTTCTGATTTCTAGCCTGATGTCTTAACCACTACTGGCTCCATAATCATCCTAGGTTTACAAAAAAGGTTTAAAGTACCATGTTTAAATGTTTTAAATATTGAGATTTTATTAACATTCTATTTAAACTAGAAATTTTCGTAGATCACTTCTACCCCTTTTTGTTCCCCTTCAAAAAAGTTCGGCTTTGCATCAGAATCACAATACTAACCAGTTGAAACTATCTTTTCTGTCCCTCTTCACAATTAACAATAGCTTTGCAAATCAGCCAGCTGTATTCTTTTTTTCAGTGAAGTTGCCACCAAAATAAGCTTGAGAAACAACATTAATATTTTGCACTTGAGCAAAAAATGTAATTGATTTCCTTTACTGAAGTTGTCAGTTTTTTTACTGGTTGAATTAACCCATTCCTTCCATACAAATAAAATAAAAATAGAATAAAAGAAGGTTTTTTTTTTCATGGAAATTTGTGATTGTGCGCACTTCATCAGGAAAAAACTCCTTTTATTTTATTTAGAATCTACCAAAAAAAAATCTGATAAAGTGCACATAGCTACAAATTCTCAGGTCCTAAAAATATCCTAGTAGCAACTGTTAGCATATGCAAATCTACAAATTAGAATAAAATAATCTACATGTGCCATAAACTTATGGTGATGGAGATTTGCATCTCAAGGATGCTAAATTAAAGAAGATTAAGTTAAGATATCAGGCATAGCATTAGACTAATGGATTTCTTTCATACTGGTGCTGAATTCTGATATTTGCATCCAAAAGATATCATGCTAAATATAAACTTGAATTCTGAGTTTGTTTGTTTTTTACCTGTTTCGAGGGGGGGGGTGCTTTTAAGTAAATAGAAACAGAAAAAGGAACTGCCAATAACATTAACAAGGAGGAAAAGTTGTATGCAACATATTGCTGAGCACATTGTAAGCCGCCCTGAGTCTTCGGAGAAGGGCGGCATATAAATCTAAAAAAAAAAAATTAATCTTTGGAGCAATTTGTTCTTGTCCTTGCAAACCTTGTCTTCAAAAGGCTATTGTGTAGCCCTGGGCGATTAAAATAATGGGAATGTTGCCATTAACTTCAGTGGCATAGAGACTGAATCCATTGTCAAGTTTCCTCCCCCTCTCCCAAAATAAAGCTTTTCAGAGAAGTTTGAGAGTGGAGGAGAAACTTGTATTCAAATGTGTCTGACAAACAGTATGTCCTGCTGATCCCTGGGAACCAGAAAGTGAAACTAGCCAAAAGCAAAAGGAGATTGAACTCTTAAGATTCATTTGTTAAAACTGAATGCCAAGAATAAATACATTTAGGCTTCCAGAATTCATGTATTCGTAAACGTTTAGGCTAAAGTTTCACTTTTAGAAATCAATCTTGTCAACTTCTGGATTTTGGTGACCAAGATATATATATTCATGATACAGAAAGTTAGTTGATTGTGTGGTGTTTAATCTTTTTTCCCATTGAAATAAGAACATGTTTTTCACTCTTAAAAGTGAAATAGAAGATTCCATAGTGCTGAATGAAATGCAGCTCTCTTGACTTAAATTATAGTGGCGTTTACATAATGGAGGATGAGGCCACTTTTGAACATACATGCACATATGCACGTGACTGGACTTTCTGGACAAGCACTTGCAATATTTTTTCTTCAAAGAATAGGTAAAGCAGGCAGACAGATACTTCATTTGGAAGTCCCAGGTTCTATATATTACATCATCTGGAGAGGCCCTAGATGGTAGCTGTATTCAGCAGCCTCATATTTCAACCCCTTTCGATTCAACTTTTGCCTGCTATTGCTTTGCGATTTCATTGACCTTTTGTGATATAAGAAATTGGAGAGTTCTCCAGAGTAATGAAATATGTATTATTGTATTGTACTGTCTTGGTTATTGATGTGCCAGTTTAGACTAAAGAACTTAAGGTAGTTGGTTCTCTAGATCAGGGGTCTGCAACCTTAAACACTCAAAGAGCCACTTGGGCCAGTTTCCCACAAAAAACAAAGCACCGGGAGCCACAAAACCTGAGTGGTCGTGGCCAACTCAACATCACTCACTCCCACCCAGTCACATGACACCCCCCAGCCACGCCTACCCAGCTTCTGTGGCTCCAGGTATTTTCTTTTAAACAGCTCTCTCTCTCTCTCTCTCTACCCCCTCTTTCTCCCTCTCCTTTTCTCATGTCTTTCTCCCTCCGTCCCTCTCTCTCCCTCTCTCTCTCATCTTTCTCCCTCTCTCTTTTTCCCTCTCTCTCTCTCTCTCTCTCATCTTTCTCTCTCCCTTTCTCCCTCTCTCTTTCTTTCTCCCTCTCTCTTTCTCTCTCTCTCATTTTTCTCCCTCATGTCTCTCTCTCATCTTTCTCCCTCTCTCCCTCTTTCTCATCTTTCTCCCCCATCTCTCTTTCTCTTTCTTTCCCAGATAAATGAAGCTTTTTCATCCTGCTGCTGTGGCTCCCTGTCTGCTGGCTGGCCCCCCGCACTTCGCCCTCCCCTCCTCCTCACTCCTCGCCTGCCCTGAGAAGAGAAGGACGGTGGAGGCAGATGGAGACTCGCTCCATATTTCAAAGCGGAAGCGAAGCGCCCCTCTACTTGCCTCTTTTTCCGGCCCTTGTTGGGAGACACATGACTTTCTCCACCCCGAGACACCAACTGGGCCACCCTAGCCGATGCTCCGCATTGTAATGGGCTCGAGGAGGAGGGGATGCTATCTCCCCCATTGTGCAGCGCGCTAAGTTTAAATGCAAGAGCAGCAAGCAGCCACAGAAGCGGAGAGAGGAATATGGGGAGACGCATGACTTTCTCCGCCCCAAGACACTGGCTGGGGCGTGTCTCCCCATATTCCTCTCTCTGTCTCCATGGATGCTTGCTGCTCTTGCATTTAAACTTAGAGCGCTGCACCATGGGGGAGACGGTGTCCCCTCCTCCTCTTCCTGGAGCTCATTACAACACGCAGCATTGGCTGCAGCCGGGCGGCCCAGCCAGTGTCTCGGTGCAGAGCAAAGTCAGTGTCTCCCCCAGCGGCTGAAATGTGCACAGCACCAACAAGGGCCAGAAAAAGAGGCAAGTAGAGGGGTGCTCCGCTCCCGCTCTGGAATATAGTGGAAGTCTCCATCTGCTGCAGTCACTCTTCTCTTCCCAGGGCAGAGGAGTGGGAGGGGAGGGCCATCCAGTGGTGGGATCATCTGACAGGGAGCTGCAGGAGAGGACCCCAAAGAGCCACATGCGGCTCTAGAGCTGCAGGTTGTTGATCCTCGCTCTAGATCCTCAGACATTTTAAACTTGACAACCAGAAGTGGAAACTAATCAAGGAGAGAACCAACCTAGAACTAAGGAGAATTTCCTGACAGTTAGAACAATTAATCAGCGCAATGACTTGCCTCTAGAAGTTGAAGGTGCTCCAATATTGCAGGTTTTAAAGAAGAGATAGGACAACCATTGTCTGAAATGATATAGGGTTTCCTGCCTGAGCAGGGGGTTGATCTAGAAGACTCCAAGATGCCTTTCAATTCTG